GGCGGATCTAGGATTTTTCGTACCTTAGTCAAAAAGTTTCAGTCAAGAAATTGGGGGGGGGGGGTGTTGCAGATGGAACGAGAAATGACTGTTTCGCCCAATGTCAGGGCTCATCAGCATGCCTAGGAAACGCATGATACTACTAAGATATCTTTGGATTCCGACATGGACAGGCATTTTCACATAAGAGCACATGCAGTTTGTTTTTAGGCGCCAGCACCCGCCTTCAAATCTTTGCACTGGGGTAGAAATCGGTGAATTTAGTAGCAATGATGCTTTACATATTCATCCTTGATTAAATTTACATAGGTGCAACCACAAATACGCTAGTTCGATTGAATATTTTGATGTTTCTTACATCTACTTCGGTCAAAGCAATCAAATTATCAAAAGATATGTTGGATTGAAGATCGGAATTCAGGTTCTTCTTTACAGCCAGCAGTACATATTGGAACTTTTCGCAGCAATGGCGCAAGAGTGTTATATTCGCAGTCATTCTCTATGATGCTAGCACTCTCGTTTCGCGACCAATTGCGCATTCCAAATTATTTTCAAATAACGATGGCGCAAGAGTGTTGTTTTTTCAGTCAATTTTCTTGCAAGCACTCTCTTTTCGCAGCCAATCGTCGAAGTTGGAACTTTTCGCAGCAATGGCGCAAGAGTGTTATATTCGCAGTCATTCTCTATGATGCCAGCACTCTCGTTTCGCGACCAATTGCGCATTCCAACTTCCATAATACAATCATACATGTACTGTGAAACCTTTAACCCATATATATTTTATTCAAATATGCAGCATAATAGATAATAATTAATAAATTTTCATTTGATGGACAATTAAATCGGTTGATCAAAAGCTTGATAGCTATATACAAAAGAGTTTTAACGTTCAACCTTTAATTAAGAGCTTTTGGTCGAAAAATATGAAATATACACTGTTATAGGATAATTAGGAAAATTTCAACCTGGTGTTTCCTTCTGCAAATTTGTCAATTACTTTTTCAACATCTGGAATTATCTCCTGATGAATTTGCATTAGGGCTAGACCATTCAACCGTTCCTCAACCATAGTACTACGCTGGTAGTTCTTCAGTGATCTCAGTGCCGAAATAGTTCTTTCACACTCACATGAAGTGATGGGCAGTGTTCCTAAAATACGAAGAACAACTTTAATATTTTCAAAACCATCAAAGCTAACAGCTTTTAAAGTTGTTGGAATATTGTCAGGAAGAAGTCCTTTGTAGGTCTCCCAATAAGACGTCCATAATGACAGTTCAGCATCTAGAGCTAAGGGAAAAGGTAGATCATCAATGTAAAAATCGGCAACAACTTTGAATCCATCACGCCAGTCTTTCCCCTTCTCTTTCAAAGACATCATTTTCGTTGGTATAACACTTAATCCTTTATAAACGTTAACACTATCCGTGTCGAATCTGTGTTGTAAAGCAGAATTAATATGGTCAACGAAAGGGATACTTATGATACGCTTATAATACTCCGAGATTGTCTTATACGGAGGATTGGACCTGCTTGTTTGTCTTCCTACTGTCCGTGGCTTGCTCTCTTTATTCCAACCTTTCGTGCTAAATCAACTGCCTCTGCATACCAGATTTCATGGAAAGTGTCAATGGAATTTCTAAAACTAATAAAATCATTTTTCATAGTGTTAATTAAGTGAATTCCATCCATAATATCAATACTCTTTCCCTGTAGCAATAAAGTAACAGAAGTCGATCCAGAATATTGTGGGAAATTACCAAAGTTACAATAAATTCAAACTTTCCTATAAGATCAAAAAAATTAGATGCATCAGCAACAAGGTTTGGTCTGTAATTCCCCTCTACATTGTCTCTCATCTCCTTTAATGTGTCATAAAGGGACGAAAAGTTCAATAAATGTATCCAAACCGGCGATTCTTTCAACCCATCTGGTCCGACAAACATCTACCAGCTTTGTCTTCCGACTTTCTCTCTCAGGATAATTACGGACATTTTCTTCAAAAGGCATGTTGCGTGTCTGGGAAATATTAATGAAATTTGAGACATCTTTAACATGTTTCATCATGGTATTGACCTCAACAACAGTCAAAGAATCACATACAGCTAAATTAAGTCGATGGCTATAACAATGAGTGTAAAGAGCTTTCTCATTAATGCGCAAAATATTAGCTGACAAACCATTTATGTGCCCTGAGACAGCACCTGCACCATCATAGCCTTGTCCTCGACAATCATCAATGGATAAAGTCATGTCATTAAGTGCTTCTAGGATCAGCTTGGCAAGTTGTTCACCACTTAATCCCCATCTACATTCAAGGAAAGCAATGAATTCTTCTCGAAATTCATGTTAATATCTACAAAACGTAAAACAAGAGACATTTGCTCCTTATGAGAAGAATCTGCAGCCTCATCTGCTATGATGGAATAGAATTTACTGGCCTTAATATCTTGAATAATCTGCTCACTTATTACCTGTCCAACACACTTGATAATTTTATTTTGGCTAGTTTTTGAGATATAAGTTTTATTTTTACCACAGTTCTTCAAATGATCCTCTAAAACTCTGTCCCCTGCACGAACTCTAAAATTAAGAGACTCAATAAAATTACCAACTCTCTCTGTAGAGTAACTGCCAACGTCAGGATGGTATTTAGAGTCATCACGGTGACCACGTAATGGTAAACCAAGGCGGCCACAAAAAATTACTGAATCCACAATTGGGGCAAGTTTCTTTCTGTTATCCTCAATCTCTTTCTTGAGGTTGGTATCTAAAATGAGCTCAATAGGCTGCGCCTTCCCTGACATCTGGGAAAGTAAAGATGTTAGTATGGGAAATGTACATGCATGCAGGCCCATTTCTCCTCCTGTACCATGTCCAGCATGATTTTTCAGAGTGTATGATGTACCACTCCAACGACGAAGAGGCTCAGAAAATAAATTTTTAATTTTTAAAGCTTTACCAGGAAAACGATCCCCAAACAGAACACATGACAAGCAGAATGCACCATCCTTCAAAGGGGAATAACAAAGCCAGGGATATAAGTCTAGCCATTCATACCTGAAGCTTCTGCCATTGGTCTTTGGAAAGGAATACTTCTTATCAGGTTTAAAGACATTTCTGATGAGATTGCAGATTTCAGATGAGTTCATACCTCCCACCATGTCCCGGTACATTGCAACATCAAAATTGGTACCATGTGATTCAACCTTTGGTGCATTAGGTGTTATATCAGCTTTTGAGATATTTGGTTTTGTGTTGGTTGAAGTGCTGGGTTTATTGTTATTTAATTGCTCTTTTGGTTTTGAAGCAGATTTCTCTGTCACCTTAAAAAACTTAGAAATGTTAGATGGGGGATTAGAGACCTTTTTCTGAAAAATAAGAGTCGGTCTAGGTTTCTTGGCAGTGACTTGTGGACAAGCAGCTGTCGACTTTCTTTTCAACTGCTGTTGATGAAAGATAAGAGGAACAAAATGATTTGGCTGGATGGTTTTTCCAGCAGTTACAGTACCTTCATAACAAAACAAAATATGAAGATCATCCAAACCTTTCTTTGGAGTTAAGCGTGGTTGAATCATGCGATTAAATAGCAATTTACTTCTTTGTTGCCCACAATCAGGATAATAGGTGAAAGTATTCCTATTCAAAACTGAAGCAAGACCCATTATACAGAGAAAGGATGACCATTTCTTCTCACTGCAATTAAGTATAGCTTCCTGTCTAACCAAGTCATCTTTCATACAACCAGTATCTAAACATTCCTTAGAAACAGACAATGGTAAAAGGTTATTGATACTTTGGCTGAAGTATTGAGCATGTTCTTCCACAGCAGAAGAAAAACAAGGGTGCTGAGAATAAAAATCAGCATTAAGGTAGAGCTCTATGGAGGTCAAAATTCTCAATAGCTCCATTAGGCTATTGTTACCCACTTCTACCAAGGACACAGAGCTATACAAGCAGTTCCCAGTAGTGTCAGATCTAAAACATGAATGAAACTTGGTTTTATTACACCTACCTACTAATATACACTTACTCAGTCACTTAGGCAAAGATGAATAAATATTAACCTAGTAATTGATAAACTTGATAGCAAAAACATCATATTCCACTTTCATGAACCATTAAGTGTAAATAATTGGCAATATAATAATAGACTGAATTATTATATAATAAACTAGTGTTCATCTTTTAAAATGTAATCAGGAAATATGGCTACTTGTATGCTTTACTGCTATATGTTTTGAATAATTATTTTTGAATTTTAAACAAAGTTCAGTGCTCAAAGCTTTGCCTTAATACATCGGGTTGTACATTTCAAAGAAGGTATTGTATTATATACACGAAGTTCACATAAGACATTATTACACTCCTCGATTCCTCTTGATTCGTATGCATAGACCGCAGTTATATGCAAATTTATTAAGCGAAATCCTATGTAAATTTCAACGTGCAACGTGTAAATTTCAACTTTATAGCTTGTGCAGCTTAACAGTTCTAACACAAATTACACAATCACCAATGAACAAATACACAAAATCTTTGTAAAATATTGTTATGTTTACCTTAAGGCCGTACAAAATTTCTTTGTTGCCTTCCGAACAGACGTCGGGATGTACGATTCCGCAGCAAAATTTCTCGTGAGGCAAAAGCTGGTGTTGTTCAGTTCGTTTAGTAGTTGCTCAGTTGAACGCTTTGCTGCGGCGTCTATTCGCTTCTTCAGATCGGCCTCGATAGTTTTAAGATATTGCCGATCGTCTTTCTCCAAAGCACATCTCACGGCGTTGTAAAGATCTGACATGATTAATAAATAGTTTTGATAATAATTTTTTTCTTTCGAGTTAAAGAATCTTTCGAGTTTTCGTTGCTGTCAAAGCTACGATGACGTCGATCAGAAAGATCAATTGCAAGGAACCTTGCTGTGCACGCTCTCAGGTCAAGGTCAGATCACACTGATCGATCAGAAAAATACAACCAATGAGAATTCAGATAGATTTTGAATTAGCCAATTGAGTAGCCCGATTCGAGCCCCTGATCGCTTCACCGATCAGAACTCCCCACAGATCGCGCAAAAAGAGAGACAGCCAATCAGATGACTGGGATTTGATGACGAAGCGAGCAAAATTCATGCATAAGACCGCTTTTCTGCGCGCTCGTGCTCGAAGGCCTGGTCGCTGAACTCTTTTAACAACTGGATTGCCAAACATCACCTGGTGACATCACCCCAATACACTGCACGTGTTTTGCAACTGGACTGCTATTTCATTCAAGCACTTTTCTTGGCATTTTTACCTTAGTCGCGTGATCGCTCTGATCACCCCTAGATCCGCCCCTGCTCAGGTAGTATAAGGAAGCTTTTATATTACTGCTATTTCAATGCTAAAAGCTTAAATAATGTTAACATTTAGCTTTCACATCGTCTTATATACAAGGTGATTTTACTCTTTCTGACAGAGGCTTCCTTTTGACCTGTAACTATACAAACCTTCCTGTATCTTTCCTTTATCATGTTAGCCAGATTGGTTGATCGCTTTGATTGCTCAGCATTTTTAGATGCTGCTTTCTGCCTCTTCGTTGCAGCTGGTTCTTGCTGAAGAAAAACAGGATCAGAAATAAATGTGGGGAATATAAACTATGCACATAACTTGCTCATTACTATTATTTTTGTATATGTGCTCAAAAAACACCTTGTTAGAGAAAATTTGGAATGGAAAAATTATCTCTGTAACTTTAAGACTTTTACCTGTCTTTCTGTGTCACTGTCGCTATCATTTATAACACGGAAACCTTTGCCTGTTTTAACCGGAGAATCATCTTCTCTCATGTATTTGAGTAACCAGTCTTTGTCATCTATTGTTTATTTAAAATATAACAAATATGAACAAAGATTATGGCAGGGATGGACTTGGTGCTGATTTCTGAATATGTCGTATCTAAAAGTGGGAAGTAATATATGCTGTTATATAGACAAATATTAAATTACTTGAGACTTCACACACTCTGCTCTGAATTATTTGGGATCATTTAGATGATTAGGACTTCAATCACCATGATATGAATTATACTTCAAACATGATTATATTTCAAAACAGCCTGATCTGAATCATTTGGGATCATTTATATGATTAGGACTTGAATATATTAACTATAAAACCCATCTTACCCTAAATAAATTATATTTATTTCAAGACATAAAACGCCAAAGGCGAACAATAATGACTCAAGGAATATATAAACTTAATTTCAAACCTGATATCTTTACAATCTCGGCAGGGAATTTTCTTTTGGTTGCTTTCTTGGATTTTGTATCTTTCCAAAGAACCAACATTTTTGTCCCGTTCTCGATTTCATTTTGTTTATGTTCCTGAGTAAAAACAATATCGGAATATGGAATGACATCCCAAGCATTCTCTTCGAAGAAATTAACCAAAGCGTAAGCCATTAAGTCGTTTAATTGCCGAGGTCTTTAAAACACTGTTGTCGGTAAATTCGAAATGGCCGCCAAGAGAGTTGGCATGTCATACTCAGGTCACATGTGGGCAAATTAAAATGCGAGCATGCCCATATTAGGGAATAATCGGATATTCACGTCTCGTCTCGACGCAATAGTTTCCCAAAATATCCCAAAATATCCCAACTAATCCCAACATATTTCTTTTGTGATTTTCCTCCGATCTGCCGTTTTCCTTGAACTAATTACTGAAACTGTTAAAAGATAAAAGATTCTGAGAGTCTTGAAGATGGTCAAAGGTTAAACACGCTTATGTGTTGAGTACAAAGGTATGTAAATGTTAATGTATGCTAAATATTGGTAATCGAAATCTATATATATATATATATATATATATATATATATATATATATATATATATATATATATATATATATATATATATATATATATATATGTATCGCAAATCACTTTTTCTTGACTACAGATTATGCAAATAAAAAAGTGCAGCTATAGTTTCTCTAGAATAACTATAGTTTTATTAGTAACCATTTGTTGTAAACTATAGGTCTTTAAAAAAACTATAGTTCAAATTTAGTTTCAATTATAACTATAGTTTCCAGCGGCTACTATTTGTTGAAAACTATAGTTTTTAAAACAACTATAGTTAAAGTATAGTTTGGAACAAAACTATAGTTTCGAAAAACTGTAGTTTCTGTATTTGGAAACTATAGTGTCACGAATAACTATAGTGTTTTTGTCTGAAACTATAGTTGTTCAGAAGAACTAAAGTTTTAAGGCAAAAAACTATAGTTATTTTGTCGAAACTATAGTTAGTTTTTGTAAGGGGATCAAGATCATTAGATCTGGTCGCACAAGAAAGACAGTATAGAATTTAGTGCTTTAGATTTTAACATATATTTCGAACAGTTGCGTTAAAATTAGAATTCAATCAAGTTAACATTTTTGGGACGGTGAACACTGAACGAGGCACAACTTTTATATTCTAATACTTTTTATATTATAATAGGGGGGGGGGTGTTGGATTTTATGCGGAAATAGAATGATTATTATAATGCATGCAAACGTCATGGGTATAAATTAATACTGCATGGGGATCAATAGTAAGTAAGAAAATTGGATAATTAAGGACAGATTGGAAGTGAGGGTTAAACACACAAATTCCCAACACAGCCTCCTACTGCCATGAATGACCGGTCTTGTTAAAAACAAATATTATAGGTAAATAAAAATATCTACAATCCCTCGCGAACATCGTCGTCTTATATATTATAATTTCTTATCTTCGCTTTTACCTGGGAGAGTGTCCATTTCCCAGCTGCCTTGACAGACAGCGCAGCCTTGGAACACTCTGGCTTGAGATGCACGTGACTAGGCTGACCTTTGACCGTGAAACTGTCCGTAGTTGAGAAACTTTCCCGAAGCTGAGACTTGCTGACTTCGTCCCCGCGATGGGTTAATCCAGAACTGTCCTCGTCTAGTAGTTTCCAGACATCTTGTAACGACGCGCGGTCGTCTGATGAGAACGAAGGTTGCCATCGCGAGACGATTTCGTCACGAACAGTAGACGATTCCGGTAGGCCTGCTTTTTCTGCGAGTTCCGTGTTTGAAGAGTGTTTTTGAAGTTTTTGGGCCGACGCGGAATTTTTTTTGCGAGGAGATAGCGAATGCTGATCATTATTCCTCGCTAGTGTTCTCTGTGCATACTGCATGCAGTTCTTTGCTTGTTAGTTCATATTGCAACTGTTCCAAACCCCGTAGTTGGGATCGGGATGTTTGCGCCACATTCTGCGGATCTTTGGACGATTGACGTGCCTCAATTGAAGGCGATTTTTTCCCTCCTAATATATAACGATAGAATAACATTCTAAAATCAAAACGGTGGCAGCGGTACACTAATCGATTTTACCACGAGATTACTTATTTCAGCATCTCTCATTATACCAAAGCCGCCACGCTGCGGAGAAACAAGAAATTTTCGTGTTCTCAATAATTGTAGTTTTTCTCAACTTCTATTATATAGGTTTAAACTTTTGTTCTTAACAATTTATCAAAAATGGTTTAAAGACGCTCTGCAAAACAATTTTATTTCATATTTCAATCAAAGGACGCATTAAACGAATGTTTAGTCCACCCGTTTTCGGTACATTTTCAAGTACAAGTTTAACTTATATCTTATCAATTAACTTGCATGTTTTCTTTCAACAGTTCCAATTGAAGTTTTTCGCCATATGCTTATAACCGACCGGCGTTTGCCCAGACTTATTCCGCGGTGTTCTGGAGCCCGGTCACGTGTCACTACCCTACATGCGGTAGTGACGTAATCATCGCGGGATCTCTTTGCACATGCAGTTAGTCTTTTGCGAACAACAGAAGCTACGCATCATGATTATAGGAAAAATGTATTCAATTCATTCTTACAGTAATTTATTTCGACTAACGTATATATATTAATGCCATCTTAATAGATATTCCAAAATATCCCTTCAAATACCTTTATATTTCAACAATTCAGCTCTCAGCTTATTTCCCATTTTAATCAACTGTTTGCGTTCTTTTGTTACTCCATTTTTCCGTTGAGCAGCTTGACGTAGTTTGGTGTGTAATCCTTTAGATGACGATACTACTCCCTTCATACCAGGGACTTCTGAAAAAAAAGGAAAACGTTTAAAATTTAAATCCTGACAAAATCATTCAGAATTTTATGAAGTGAATTTAGGGTTTGTTATGTGTTGATGAGAAATGTTGATGAAAGGTTTTCCAGCCGCAATCAATTTACTGTTTTGGAAAAGGTCGTAACTTACAAATTGTGAACGGGTTTGAATGAAATATAACTCCATAGACAGGCGTCATAGTTATATCACGCTATTTTAGGTGGATCAGAACAGCAAGAGATATGCATTCTATATATGGTTAACAACTGACAGTGGTTGGGTTACATCACAATCTATACGTTTCAATTAATTCAGTAGATTTAGAATGTTCTACGGCAGTCGTGATTGTTAAGATTCTAAACACAAATAAAGATAGTATTTCAAAAGCGTCAGACAGTACACTCACCTTTCTCTCGAAGGTCTTGTATAAACTGACTTTCTGGATTGTACGTATTCACACTCTAAAAAAAGGTGTGTTCAAATAACACACCTTTTTTGTCCAGAATATAACACAGGTTAAGGTGTGTTTTCTTACACACGCAGGTGTGTCCCAAAACACACCTTAAGGTGTGTTTCTTGCTTGTCCAGAATTTGACACACTATAAGGTGTGTTTTGCAAAAGGTGTGCTTTAGTACACACTAAGGTGTGTTTTGAAACACACTGTTGTGTGTTTTCCTACACAACTTTGGTGTGTTTTCCTACACAACTTTGGTGTGTTCCAAGACACATACTGCTAGGTGGTGCAAGGTGTGTTTTGGAACACACTAAGGTGTGCTACCCAACACACAAGATCAAATTGCCTAGGGCAATTATCTAAATAGAATGAATAGTCAGAACAGTTTGTCCATAAACAGTGAAATATGTATTAAAAATAGAAAACATTATCATACAAGAAAACACTTACATATATTCACAACAAATATTTAAAAGTCATATGGAAAATTTGCCTTAATAATAATTTGCCTTAAATATATGGCATGCATATAATATAAGCATGAATGTCCAGGCATGTATAAATTGTTCTAATCAGAATTGTCCTTAATTCCTTGGTGCACCTTTGCCATAAATGAGGAAAATTTTGTTCCTCTGTAGTTGCCATCATTTGTTGGCAAAAGAATGTCTTGTAGGAAAAGCAAGCATCCTTCCATACTTTCAGGGTAGGAGACGTGATATGCATAGTAACAACAAAGCAGGTCGATCAAACCTTGGAGTATACCTTCACTCTCAATAAATGACTGGTCTTCACCTGCCACAAAAACTTGGTTGACCTCCTCAGGAGACCCAATCACAACCAAGCGAAACTCGACATTCTTGTCTTTGAACAAGGTTTCTGGTCTCATGGTGGATGCAGGCTGTAAAACAAAATTAAAACAGTTAATTACAATTCCAGCATTGAGGTAAACCTAAAGATTAAGATCATTGATTTGCCACTCAGCTATCTACTAGAGTGTGCAAGGTGCAATTGACAAATACATACATCTTTTTTAGAACACTTGTTGTTGTTCCTTTGTTCCTTTTTGTCTTTCTCTCAATTTGCTCCACAGCCTCCACAACCTGTTCACTTCTCATTTCACATTCCTTATCCTTAATTTGTATGACAGCTTTCAATGCAGTCTCCAACTTCTTTTCAGCCTCTTTTTCCCAATTTTTCTGCCCAATGATTCTGCTAACTTCTTTTCTTACCTAATTAAGATAATCAAAGACATTTTGCAGGTGTTTGAAACAAGTTGCCATTGCTTCAATAGGGTTACCCATTGTTTTAATATTATACCCTAAAAACTACATGTGTATATATGACTGCACAAGACATCATGTGAAGATACTTACAACATTTGGATGACCAAGATATGGACATTCCTCCAAGACCTCTGTAGAAGATGTAGCTTGATTTTCGATAAGTTTCCTCCGCTCATTAAATGTGTCGACAAAGAGTTTTGCAAATGTTTAGGAGCCATTGCACCAGGTTTTGCTTTTTTCAAAAGCTCCATATTTCTTTTTTGAGCTTGCTCATCATCCTCTGCAGTCAGTTTTATTTTCTTTGAGGCACTTTCATTTGCATAACCATGGGGTTGTCCATGCATCGCTTTGTTAACTGTCCGCCGCCGAAGGTTTCTGAAGAATTGCGACAATTGTTTCTGGATTGATACCTATATATGTAGACAAAATATGATATTTGGGATTAGGATCATTGCCATGACAAGTATATTTTAAGTACATATACAGAATATTCCCTCTTGTGACACTTACCCAATAGCTTGCTTGATTGGAATCTCTCAACTCAGGGAATTTCTCGCACACTAAAATGGCAATCCTCTTGTAGTCACCTTGCTTTGGGTGGCTGGACAAACCATAATAAAAGGTCCCTACATCTGCAATCAGCTGTGTTCGCTCAGGGGCAACAGAGCCATTTTTTATTGCCATCTGCACTCGCACAGAGAAACTCTCAGGAAATGGGAGAGTGTTTGGTAGGGCTGTGGCATCTGAACTATTAGTAATAGGTTTGGGACTCTTGAGTGGTTTCTTCATTTGAACACCTGCTTTCACACTTTCAACACTGCTTTCACATGCCATGGTTGGCAAAGGTGGTTTCACTGGCAAAGGTGGTTCCACTGGCAAAGGTGGTTCAGTTGGCATTGGTGGTTCTAGCTCTGATGTGTGTGGTTCATCATCATGTGGCATCACAATTTGCTGAGGCATTTTTTCCTATTATTGACAAATAGTAAATACTTTCATGTAAAATATTGAGAAGTAGTCATTATTAGTGATGGGAATACAATTGATTATTTCAATTGCCCAATGTGACAGTGCCTTCTCTCGGCTTATAATTTTCAATTAGTACTGTTATATAAAAGCCTGTTAGGCAAACTAAAGGAATTAACGACAAATTAATATTCTTGTTAAATCAAAGTTTATATTTATATCCTGTTTAAACAAAGTAAACTTACGTTTTCTGTTGTCGCAGATAAAGTAAAGGCCAATTTTTGTTTTAGTTGAATTCGATGGCCAGATTTAGGTAAGACCGCTTTGAATTCGTCGATGTCTTGCATCAAAAAGTTCAATGTACCCCCATCAATAGCATTTTCTGAAACATTATAATCATAAACTGTTAGTAGATCGTATTCATTAAACTGTATAATAAAAAAGAAAGCTTAACGCACACATAAAAACTTAAACGCTTTAGCATTTTGGCAATGGTTCAACCACATGAGGCATACCTTTCAGTTGATCGCAAATTTCTCTTGAGATGCCTTTTGATAACAAGTGAGCAATAAGGTCTTCAGTGAACATTGCTACTAAACACACAGCCATACTTGTGATGAAATTATATTTAAAAAACAGAGTAAATGTTGTGAGTAATCTTCTTGGAACGTCGAACGGGCAAGATATCAGTCAAATTTTTACAAGCAGGTCTAAATTTCCCGCATCACACCATAGGGAATTCCTATTGGCAGACTTACGGTCACGTGTTACTTTAAATACATATATGGTATTCCCAGTGGTGACATTACCGTGAGAGAATAGAATGGCTCCCAGGCCTTTTGCAAATGCTCCAATTTTTCGGCTAATATCGATTGAAAACATACTGGGAAATAAACTAAGTATTAAAAGTCAGTAAGGCACAAGGCGAAATAATGTGTTTTTAGTATATACAAATGGCCGATCAACTGAATTTCGCTGCGATTACTGTAATTTTGTATGTTGCAGCGGACAAAGTAAGCTTTTTTTTATCACTTGGTTAAATACACTCAAACGAGCCGAATTTCAAGATATTTTGTAACAGCTGTCCACGGTCGTTTACAAAGATAAACAGTCTCCAAAAACATTATTACAGACAGCATAAGGCTTTAACAGTGGAAGAAGACTTAAATGATGGGGAAAATGAGAACCATTTTCAGGAGATGTTTGACGAGGGAGAAGCACGAAGTCTAATGCAACGCCATGCTGCCAAATTCCTTTTATGTTCCAAAACAAGAGGTATGCTCACCCAGAGTGCCGTGGACTTGGTCAAAGATTCAGCGAAAAATCTACTAACTGAGTATTTGGACATAGTCAAAAAATCGCTTGTCGAAAAGATAAACAGTAATCCTGGTCAAGAATTGCAATTTGACCAAGATGTGGAAAAGTTATTTTCAGCAGAGAGTGTCTTCGACGGAGTTGATTCAGAATACCAACAAAGATCATATTTTAAGCGTCATTTCAATTTGGTGGTAATTACCAACCTACCAAACCTGAACCAGCTGCCAGCTTTGTCAGCTTGCTTTATATTTTTTTAACTGATTTGCAGGAACCAATAGAAGTTGAGATGGGAAAACAGTGGAGAAGTGATTTTCGACAAGGGAGAAAAATACTTAAACGTGTCACAGTTTTTGGTTATCAAGTTCCATTATTAAAGACTTTGGAGGTAAATATATTTTATATGAAAGACTAGCAAATAATTGATGTCACTATTCTGGTGCTAAATGCCATTACTTTGGCTTTTCAAGATTCAAATCACTGGATGCATCCATTTGTTGCAAATATTTTTTTCAAACATTTTTTTGATCATATATTTTAGGCACTTCTTCAAAACCCAGATGTTTTAAAGGAAGTTGAAAATCCACATTTTTCATGTGATGGTGTTCTTCGAGATGTAATGGATGGGGATTTTTTCAAGAGTCATCCAGTATTCTCCCTCCACAGTGATGCCCTGCAGCTGTTGGGCTATTATGATGATCTAGAAATAGCCAATCCTTTAGGTTCAAAAGCAAAGATTCATAAAATTGGTGTGTGTCTTTATATTATGTCTATGAATCTATGAACAGCTTATTTCATAAGCATGTTAGCTGCCCAATCACATATAAAATTTGTTTTTAGGTGTCTTTTACTTTGTGCTGGGCAATATAAGGCCAATGTTTAGATCAAGCATCCGCAGTATACAACTTATAGCTATTGCTAAAACAAAAGACATCAAGTCATTTGGGATCGATAATCTTTTGATGCCATTCATTGAGGATGTCAATTGTTTGGCGAAGGTATTTTTACTTTATGCATTACAGTATTGTATGTATATAAGAAAAAAAAAAGACAAAATTCCTCTAGTATGCAAATTTGTCCAACATTATAGCTTCCTATATTTTAGGCTAATGGTCACTGTTTTACCATAAATGGTGTTGCCCGTGTGTGTTTCGAGGTGATCTGTTATTGTGGACTGGAGATACACTTGGTAGCAACTATGTCAGTGGTTTCAAGGAAGGTGTTGGAGGAGCATTGCGAATTTGTAGGCATTGTATGGGAACAAGACTGGAGACCAACAATAAGGTAAATATGCTATAATTTGAAGAAATAGCTTTTTTCCCTACTGTAATTTGGGAGATATTTTGCTGAGCAATAAGGGCATTTTTACAATTTACACAATGTGCATTTGGATTACCTTTCTGTTTTAGTTTTTATCTGAAGACTTTTCAGAAAGAGATTTGGATAATCACAGACAAATATGTGCATGTATTGAAGATGAAGATAATGCATTAAACATCCGTGAACAACTTTCCACAACCTATGGGGTAAACAGATTAAGTGTGTTGGATAAGGTGCAACATTTTGATGTTTGCATTTGCATTCCTGAAGATATAATGCATATATTTTGGATGGCTTGGTACCCTATGAAACAAAGTTGATGCTGAAGTATCTGATTGATGAAAGCAGATGTATCACACTCAAAGAGTTAAATCGGAGGATGAAAACTTTGATTATGGATACATGAACAAAAAGAATAAGCCAACTGCAACTACAGGGAAACAATCAATGGTGTCACTGAAGCTAAGCTTAAACAATCAGGTACATATACTTTTAAAACCCTTTCTTTCACTGCAGTCATTGGGAAAGTATTAACTAATTTATATGTCTTGCTTTATGCAGCCTAATTGTCTTGAACTACCAAATGTAGACTATGTAATGCTATTTTAACCTGAGTCTTTTTGTTGCAGCATCTCAAATGTGGTGTTTATTCAGGTTCTTGCCAATCATGATTGGTGATAAAGTGGATGAGCAACTGGAAAACTGGCATTGTTTGCTGAAACTTTGGAATATTGTTCAAATTTGTACTTCTCCAGGAATAACAAAGGCTGATGCTGCCTATTTGAAAGTTATGATTAATGATCATCACAAAATGTTCAAAAATCTCTACCCTAATGCATCCATAATTCCAAAAATGCATTATCTTATACATATACCTGATGAAATTGTTAGGTAAAAAATTATTGATGTAAAAGTTACTTCCAAATTATTTTTGAGTTAGAGAACATCATCCTATTAAATTATTGATGATTATAATTAAATGTTTGCGTTGTAGGTTTGGGCCACCTAGAAA